GTGACTAAAGGACAAGCTCGAGTACAGCCTGCGCATACAGAAGGTAACACTGACCTAGAAACCGGACCAAAATGTTTTTGTTTTTTTATTCTTTGATTTCATCGTTAGATGTAATAACAGCTGCATTTAAGATGGGAAATAACCATTTGTTTCTCCTCTTATAGGAATACATTTAAAAATTATTAAACATAACCTTCATAAGCATATCTGTTTTTTGTATGTTTCATCTATTAATTTTAACCCTTTTTGTGCTTTAACAACAATAAATAATCATTTGAAAATAAACTAATGTTAGACTGGTATCAGTATGCACCCTCTGCTAGACAGTAAATTAGATTATCCTCCCAGAATGTTAAAGTTATCGTTTTCATTGATTATCAGTTCAGCAAGTCTTATTAAAAAAGAATACATGTTTTCATAAAGGGTTAACTACCTCATCTAAACTGTCCATGCTGGGAGGGTCTGCTGAAATGCTGATCGTATCTGTTATGTAATGATGATCATTCATTACTCATGTCTATAAGCTTTGACTTCTTAAAGTTGAATTAATTAATAATAATCAAAACATATTATATTGTAAAGTTGATTGAGATAATTCGACTACTTTCCTGTATAACGTTGTTTCACTGAAGAATCATAAATATTTATTTCGAGAATATTGTGAATGTTTGTCAAAATAAAAATTATAGAGTAGGATCTTGAAAAAGTAACATGTAGGAAGATAAATGAGGATAAGATGCTCTGCCAGGCATATGATAAGATATTTTCAAACTAATGAAAACAATATTGTATTTGTGATTGTGTATAGGTGGATGTTTATGATGAAGGGGCCGTACACCTGCTCCATACAGACGAAACAGCAGCCCAAGACCTCACAGGTCTACCTCATTGTACAAGGTAAGTGGCACCTACACATAGACACCAGCAGCACACAACACACAACCAATCCACGCCAGCCGTACAGATTTACACTTGGAAATGGTGTCAATATATTATATTCCAAACAGAAGCTAGAACAAATTTGAAATGATTATGTCATATTTATTAAGAGTCAATCGCATCATTGTCCAACTGCACACAAGCAGCAAACAGCAGCGTCACTAAACTCTGTTATTAAACGTTGAAATGTGTCCCTCTAAGGTGCCTGTAAGGAAAATATATGAATATTTATTGTCAGGGAAAAACTGCTCTGTCACAAACTGCCACCTACAGCAATAGAATTTCTTGTTCCAGTTGAAATTAATCTTGAGTGCACTTCAAAAGCCTTGAGCAGTAGTTTTCCATCTCAAAGAAAAAAAAAGTTTTACCTCCTGAATGGAGACAGCCAGAAAGTTGAGAGCAAGAGAGATAAGATGCTGCAGGGTTTGATCTTATAGGCCTGGAGGGTGGAATTTATATATATTAGGGCTGTCAAACGATTAACATTTTTAATCAGATTAATCACAGTTTAAAAATTAATTAATCATGATTAATCACCATTCGAACTATGTCCAAAATATGCCATTTATTTATGTATATTGTTGTGGGAATGGAAAGATACATGAAAGAAGGCGGATATATCCATTTAACTGTGTACAGTATGTATGTTTATTATAACATTTTTCTGTGTGTCAAAATGAAAGACAACCCACACACCTATCAATCATCAAACCGTGGGGTCTTAATTCATTACGTGTTGATTTCTATCAACGGGGGAGTACTTCAGGAAAGTCGACAGGCGGGGGGGGCGCTAGTGGAGTACTTCGTGACCACAGAGTGTGAACGTTGTGATCAGCTGTTTTAGCGCAGTTCTCCAGTGAAGGGGAGGAGTCTCCCTCCGCAGCCGGTTGGCGTAGTGTTGGCATAATTCCGTTGTACAGACCGACGTTAACAGCAGCCCTGTCTGTGCACACCAGAGATGTTCACAAGTCTTTTTTTGCAAGTCCAAGTCAAGTCTCAAGTCTTTGGTCACGAGTCCAAGTCAAGTCTCAAGTCTTTGTGGGGTTAGACTTGATCAAGTCTCAAGTCTTTGGTCACGAGTCCAAGTCAAGTCTCAAGTCTCTTCTGGTTGTAATAAGCCTTATATTGTATGCTGCTATCCAGTCTGTTAAGAATACTGCACAGCTATATCTAAGAAATTCAAAGCATTTACTGTATTATTATCACTCCTATATCTATTAGCATACAGTATCAGTACTGATTAGTTGTTTGTTATATGATCACTTTAAACAGGCTATTGCAATGCAATATGAGGAAAAACATCACACTTTAGCTAAATGCAAACAACTTATAAGCAAAACACTTCAGAATCAGAAATCAGTATCACAAATACTTTATTAATCCCCCGCAGGGAAACTGTGTTAAAAGTACTTAAAAGTAAACATTTGTTCTGTGCCATTTGCAACTAAAAAACTATTGCTGCAATATTATCTGACATATACTGAACTGGTGATATTAAAACATGACCTGTTCCAAAAGAGATATCTACCATTAACACCATTTACCAGCCAAATGCTGGTAAATCATGCAAGTGGCTGGTACTGTATGTTGCACGCACCAGCCACAAATAACAATGGCAATCTATTGAGTGGCTGGAAAAATGTCAACATTCACTAGGCTAGCCATTTGGCCAGTGGACAACATTTTAAAAATTTGACCTCTGCAACCGTATTGTTTAATTACACTGGGTCTCTAATTACATCTTTTAAGTCTACTATAAATAAACATATTCCTCTATCCTCTCACTCAAACCCAGTGTAATGGTAACCTGATAAACCTGTAACATTAACGTTACGTGGTCAACAATAAACCTGTAACCTGCCTATATACCGACAGATGTATTTATGTATGTTACTATGTATTTTTCTACGTTTAACGTTAGCCAGTAGATGGCAGCGGAACGTAATGATTAACGTTACCGACCTTTTTTATGTCATGTCAAGAGTTGGATGTCAACGCCACTCAACGCAAACAAGTGTGACAAGCAAACATTCACTCATCTTTTCAAATATTCAGTTACAAAGCTAGTAGCAAGCTAAGTTAACATTATATAGCTGATGCTGAGCTAAACATGTTTGCTAACCGTCCATATGCGTTAATGTGACTGACCTCTCCGGGTGAGTTTTCAAGTGCCTGATGAAATTTGACGTTGTTGCACCAGCATCCTTGATTTTAATATTGCAGACTTTGCAGTGTGCGCTCCTTTTGTTGGTGCCGCCGGCGTTTTGTTCGAAGTTTTTATAGTTGAACCTAATTACAAGCGGTACAGCTGCAGGTGTGCCGCCAGTCGCCATGGTGTTACCATGATGTTAACATGATGTTAATGTTAAAGGTGGGGTAGGTAAGTTTGAGAAACCGGCTCGAGATACACTTTTTATTATATTCCATGGAATGCTCTTAACATCCCGATAGCCGGCCCGGCTAAAATAACTGGATGGCCTACCCATAGATATATATATAAACACTAGATGGCTCATGGGAGATTTTCCAGCGTAGCTGACCGGCCGCCATACAGTTAACAGTTACTCTGATTCGCGTTATGGTAGCTGTTGTAAGGTGAGTGATCTGCACAAAAATACTCTTAACTCGCTGAAATCTTGACTGATTTACAAACGGTTTGGTTTATTATAAACATTATTAGCATTGCTATGATACAGGATGCTTGGACATGTTGAAATTGCAGCTTTTCTTTGTGTATGTGGTTGTATTTATTAGCTGGCTAATAACAAGAGGCTGTGAGTGAGACCTAGTATTACAAAGTTGACCCAGCAACTTTACACCAGTGGGAGAGGCAGAACTGCTCTTTCTTTTCAACATAACTTAAGTTACACATGATTTCTTCCAAGTGGTTTGGCTTGTTAAAAACATCTTGCATTATGATACAGGAATTTGCTGGCTTTGTGTTTACAGAAGTACCTGACTATGCCGGACTTTTGTGCTGCCTACGGATGCTCTAATCACCGCAGTCTGCAAACAAGAACCCGTGGGATCACCTTTCACGTGTAAGATATGACAATATTATGACTAAAATTAGGATAATCGTTAATTACTTAGTGGATGTATGTACATTACAAGTCCTGCTACACAGGATCAGTGGGGCTATGTGAGATAATAGTATTGCAAGATTGTTGTTGACCCAGCCTCTTTAGAATATGTTGTTACCATTTCTTTACACAATTATTTAATGTTTCTTTTGGACACCTTTTTTATTACTCTTAGTGTGGTTGTCTTATTCTTAAAGTAGGCTATACATACATGCATACATACCAAAAAAAATGATAATTTCTGTGTTTATTTTTGTCCTTACCCTTAATGTTAAAGGAAAGAAGGGAGGAAAATGTTGACAATAATTTATATATCTGGCTACCTTTCTCATGTTTTTAAGGTTTCCCAAAACCGAAGAGAGGAGGAGGCAGTGGGAACTCGCCCTAAGAAGTGTTGTGAGTTTTCATAGTATGTTTAATACTTAAAAACGAAAGTTAGTTATAGTCAAATATAATCAATTATATTCTTGTATAACCCACAATGAAAATGCTTCATATTTTAGGTTTTCTATAGTTACAGTATAAACAAAACCAAGTGGGTTGTTTAGGTTGAGTTTTCTTCCTCTCCTCTGGCAGCAGTCCAGAGAGGGGGGGGGGGGGGGGGGCTTCACACTAAGGGGAGAAACATTAAGAGGCCAAAGAGAGTTCATGTCCTTTTTACCTCATATGAAAGGGTGTCTTATCCCATAACAGCTGTGGAACATGTTGGGACATGTTCAGCCTTGTACATTATGCGCATGCGCGGTTTTCAACTGAATTGGGTGTAAGAGGAGGAGTTTGTTTTTTTGGGTTTAGGATCCAGTTTTTTTAGCATAAAGAGACTGGTTTTTTGAGAGAGCGTGAGAGAGGGGGGGTGACCCCTGGTAGACTCTCTCCGGGTAGGCTGTGTGCTTCAGAGCTGGGTAACTAGCTCTCGGTATTTGGTTCTGTCAGACGGGGTAAATATCTCTCGATTTTCTTGGTTGTTGGCTGAGTGGAATGATTTGATGGGTATGTGTTTTTGAATATTCTAACCGCAACCTGTAAGGATCTTCCTTCGAACTCTTGGCGGATGGGTATGTGTTTTTAATATTCTAACCGCAACCTGTAAGGATCTTCCTTCGAACTCTTGGCGGATGGGTATGTGTTTTTAAGTGTTAATCCGCCGTCTGTGTCGGAAGATGTGTTTGGGAATATTCTAACCGCAACCTGTAAGGATCTTCCTTCGAACTCTTGGCGGATGGGTATGTGTTTTTTTTAAGTGTTAATCCGCCGTCTGTGTCGGAAAAAAAACGGTATGGAACTGATGTGAATTAATTGATGAATGAAAAGTTGAATGCGCTTTTTATTGTCACCGGTCTTTTTACGAGGAAATACCTCTAAATTCTATCGGGAGAATTTTAAAATGTCACAACTGAAATGGGCAGTTGAAATTAAAACATTTTGGTAATAAATGTAAGACTGTGAATTAAAGTTTCATTTGAACATGATCACAGCACGGTTTTTTTGTTAGGATGATTATAATGTTGTGAGAGAGAAGGAAAAAACCCTGTATTAGTTTGGACCTATTTTTCTTCAAATAAACTGACTCCCACCTGTTGGATTGGGATCCTTTAAAAGACACCTGTGCCCTCCTCTCCTGCGTCAAAGGTAAGATTGCACCCTGCCACACACACTTAGGTAGGAGCACACTCCATTTACTGATATCAAAATCCTTCGGGATCGCTTAAACAGATTAAAAGAGAGTTGTCTGAATTGAAACAGCAGTTAATTGAAACCTTGGTTCTTCGGGGGGGTTAGGAAGAGGTGAGATCTTGCTGACGTTGGTGGATCTGAGCCACGCAGCAACCTTACATAGACTCAATAATCTTCGGAAAGGTCAATTAGGAGGTCAGAATAATTTACCGGAATAAATTATCAGGACCTCTCATACTCTAAACAGAAGGGACGGTTTTGTTTCCTGTGACAGGACAGGAACAGTTTGACCCGTTGTTGGGCCAAGCTGTTTTGTGCATATCATTTTACTTACTTGCAGTTACAAATAAACCGCTGGTAACACATACCAATTCTACTCTGGTCGTGTCGTTTCCCTTTGTACCCCTCGCCAAGAGGGAACGTAACAACATGTGTTACGTGCCGTAGTGGGTGCTTGTGTGTCTCCCTCTCTTTCCCCCTGATGTTTGTTCTTCTTCTTTGTTTAATGGCGAATCGCTACCACTAGGAGCATATATCGCCACCTACTATGTATTTATTAAATCTTCATGTTCCATGAGACGCAGCACTATGTTCCCCACATATGTTTATGTTTGCTCAGTCTAATAAACCCATAACATGGTTGTGAAAGAATACCAAAGCTGAGGCTGGACGATGATTGATTGTTGGTGTGCCATGTGTCACCGTGTGTCTTATTGGTTTTGTGTTATACTGTATTTTATTGTGTGCAGCTGGTCCTTATCTCCAAGACACATTTAAAACAAATAACCTTGAACCTTGAAGCCCCATCTCTCCCCACCTGCTCCTGCTTCCTACATCCCCTCCACACCACACCAAGTTGTTCTTCTTAATAATAATAATAATACATTTATTTTGGGAGGCCGCCTTTCCCAAGGACACCTTACAGGGGCATAGGGGCAATATAGGGAACAATTTAAATAGTGGATTTTGTGATATATCAGCCGGGGTGAGACAAACCACAAATGGACTACAGAAGGACACAAAAGGACACATGGTACAGTTTATATTATTCTTGGTCTTTTTTCAATAACATATTTCAAAGGTTCTGGATTTGTTTACAAATCTAGAAACTAAATACAAAACTAGTATAGTAATATGAAGATCTCATGTCAAAAATAATTGTGATAAATTAGACAGAACTGGCCTGTCTGTGAGCACATTTTATGTTGGTTTGGTTCTTCTGATAAAGGTGTGAATATCTAAATAATATACCAACATATGCTATTGTCATTAGTTGTGTCCCTGTTCTTAAAGCTAAGGCATTGCTAAATTAACAACTCTTGGCTTACAGAGTGGTAACATGAGACCGATTTTTATATATAAAATATAAATGTATTTTAATTTTATAATTTATTTTAAATATTAACAATATAATAAAATAAATGGAAATATATACACCGGCAAATATTTAATATAATATAAATACCTTGTATAGCTATTGCTTTATCTGATTAATGTTATTTTCATATGAAAGTCCATGATTATAAGTATGCAGTATCATAACTACATCTTTGATGTTTATAAAAAACCAAACCGTTTGAAAATTGGTTGAAAATTGAGCAAGCTATGGTTATTTAAATAGTAAACCATAATGTTATGAATGAGAGAACTCCCTGTAGCAAGATGGCGGCCAAGTGGCAACGTCGGTCTCCATTGGCCAGCAGCGCGGGTGAGTCATCTAGTGTTTATATATATATCTATGGGCCTGTCAGCCTCCCATCGGGGCACAAACTTATCTCGTGCCCTCATTGGTCATGTGCGCGTTCGTGTGTGTTGGAGGAGGGGCTCTGTGAGGAAGTGGCAGTTCTCATTCATAACACTCCGTTCGATGTCTCACTATGAGATGCGCCTCATCGCAGAGCAAACAGAAGCATCAATCTCATTACGCCAATCCTGATTGGCTGATGATCTTGACGTCAGCATCAGGGAATTCACCCTCTATAAGTAGCTTGCGCCACGACGCATGCGTCATTCAAACACCTCTTCTCGCTTCAGAGCACATCTCTATAGTAGCCGGACAAGCTTAACGGTCCACAGACTGAACCCAAATATAACCATTTCGGTCGACGAGCGCTCGCCGGCTACTCCTTCTGCTTCGCAAGAAGACCGTAATACTAACGCCAGTTAGTATTAAAATCGACCTCGCCGTTTCTTTCCCCGGAAAGTAAGGTAAGGTTTTGATTTTTTCTCAAGCTAGCTACGCACCTGTTGCTAGCTAGCTTCCCCTTACTACCGACACCACGGTAGCGAGGACGCTTTTCTTTTTCTCTCTCACGGAGGAGAAAAGGATTAGAAGTATATTGACACACCAGTCAATATTCTTTGAGAACAAAGGACCCACACCGTCCATTTTTCTCCGGATTAAGGACGGGTTGGTAACACTTTTTCTCTCAACGACGTACCTGTTACGAGCGGGTCCTCTCCACGCCACGAGGCGAACAAGATGGACGCCTCTCCCCCTCACACCAGAGGAGTCAGGGACTCGGAGGCTCGGTCATGCGGCTGCGGGTTGAAGATAGCAGGCACAGACTCACACCAGGTCTGCTCGTCCTGCCTCGGGCTGGAACACGCCCAGGAGGCTATCGACAACCCCGGCTCGTGTGGGCTTTGTGCCCGTTTCACCCGAAAGAGCCTCCACCGACGGCTAGCACACCAAGCTAGCTTGTTGGAACAGGACTCCCTCATGTCCACTGATTCGCCGTTTGACAATCAAGACACGGGGGCGTCCGCCGCAGAGACTGAGCCCCTCACTGTCGGTCTGGGGCTCACTAACAGCGGCAGCTGCGGAACCGGGATCCCACGCCGTGTCAGGCCGGGACCCGGTGGCGGCAAGAGACGCGGGAACGGAGCCCCACGCCTCACCAGGCGGGAGCTCCCGGCGAGACCTCACCATGGTCTCGCCCGCAGAGGCTCGGCCTGCTCCGCATACTGCTGGTGGCAGCCCACCTCCTACCGAGGATGGGCCCGTCACCAAGCAGGAACCCCACGCTGCCAGCGAAGGTGGACCGTTTCCAGTCGACCATGACTGAACGGTCCTACAGAGCCACAGCGTTGTCCGCCAGGGCTCTGAACGTTTCCTCACTGCTAACCGCATACCAAACGGAGCTCTGTGAGGATATGTTGAGTAATCCTGGACCGGCCGTTCTGGATGAGTTGGCCGCGGTCACAGACATTTGTCTCCATGTCCAACGCTGCGCCGTCCAGGCCACGGGCAAAACAATGGGGATCATGGTGGTGCACGAAAGAGCTAGATGGCTCAACCTCACCAACCTCCCAGACCGGGAAAAGGAGGATGTGCTTGACATGCCCATCGTTCCCGAGGGGATTTTCGGCTCCGCTCTTGCCTCCATGCAGAGGAGATGCGAGTCGAAAAAGAAGGAGGACGAGGCCCTCCACCTCTGCCTCCCTCGAAGGGCCCAGCCGCTGCCTTCGCAGCGGCAGCCCTTCGTCCAAGCTGCCCCGAACCCTGCTCGGTTCAAAATACCGAAAACGCAGAGGTCGCAGTCCGCCCCGAGTCCCCAGCCCAGGCAGGGGACGAGGGCGAGCTGGCCTAGAAATTCTCCGGTTCCGGCTGCAGCCCAGGCGCAGCCAACCCAGAATTTCGGCCAGCAGTCGAGGAAGAAGAAGCGAGCGGCGTGACAGCCCCTCCTTCTCCCCTATGCGATGAGGCGCATCCCAT